ATGATCTATCTGGCACTTAAAAGATGCTCACTAAATGGTAGCAGTGATCCTGGCTTCCAGGCACAGTTGAGCACGCTGCACACTGCACAAGCGCACCCCATCAGGCCTTCACAATATCGACCTTGTACATGTGTAGGTGCGTTGTACACGCTTCTCGCAGATGGTGGAAGATCTGGTTCTAACGGAGTTGTTGGGACAATTTTCTGAAGAAGCCCTACCTGGGACGCCTCCTTTCTTCCAACCATGGACCTATTTCTTTTTTTTTTTTTTAAGATTTATTTATTTTTGCACACAAGAACTGGGGTACAGGCCAGAGGTGGGGGTGGTGGTGAGAGGATTCACCAGAGACAGAGTGGGGAACAGAATAGGAAGACCAACTGAAATACACTGCTGAGGGGAGCAGCGGGCGAGTCAGGAGAGGTCTGCTGCGCCATGTGGGTAGCTCCCTGGCGGGAGATCGAACTTGTGTTGCAGAGGCTGTGGACAGCTTCATCGGTTGCGTCCTAACCTCTTGCACCACCAGGGAGGCCCGCCGGACCTATTTCTTCTCTGCTTCCTGAGACCTTAGTTCTTGAGGGAGCCCCAGCCCTGGCGGCCCAGGGAGGCTGACAAGGATGAGCAGGCCCTGGCACTGTCAGCCCCCCAGAGGATCCCCCATGTGCAGCCGGGCCTCCCTCTCGCCTTCTGTCTTTTGCAGGTCAACATGGTGGTGCTGGGCAAGCACCTGGGCATCCCCAAGCCCTTCGGACCCATCATCAATGGCCGCTGCTGCCTGGAGGAGAAGGTGCGATCCCTGCTGGAGCCGCTGGGCCTCCACTGCACCTTCATCGATGACTACTTGTCCTACCACCAGCTGCTCGGGGAGATCCACTGCGGCACCAACGTGCGCCGGAAGCCCTTCCCCTTCAAGTGGTGGCACATGGTGCCTTGAGCCTGCTCCCCACCTGCCATCCTCCCTGCCCACCTCCAGGGAAGCCCAGCAGGGTGAAGGCATGGAGTCTCCACCTGGCCTCATTCCTCTTGGGCAAGTGATGGGCACCTCCTCCCTGGGTGCCTGCCAATGTGCTGGCCACGGTTGGCACCGGGACGCAGGAATGGCCACCACACATCCTTGCCTCGGGAGCAGCCTGCCCGGCCCGAGAGAAAGTCTCCTTCCCTTTCCTCTTTGCAATCCACAACTCCCAGGGGTTTTGAAAACATCAGCAGCCTTAGCACATTTGAGGGTGGCTGTGGGTGGCCTTGGCAGGCACCCACTTCTAGCTGTCCCCCCCACCTCCGCCCACCTAACATTCCCTTTGGGTTGCACCAAGAATAGGCTCAGAAACTGGGCCTCCAGTGAGAGGGCCTGGGGGTGGGGTACCTGTGGCTCTTGTAAGATGAGGAAGGGGGTGAGTAACCCTCTTTCCTGGGCCAGCTGTCTTCTCCCCCAGGGGACCCCCAGGCTGTGACCTCAGCCATATTTACTTTACACAGGTAAATAGGACAGGAAAACCCAGCTTCCGAGGGCCTGTTTTTAAAAGAAAACGCAACAGAAACCCTTTAATACCCGACTCGGTCCTCAGAAGGATGCTCGTTAGCTGTTTGGAAAGCCTTTAATTACAAGTGCTGGCTGCTTCCGGCTGATAAACTGCTGAGAAGCCAAAGTGAGGCCGCGGAGGACACGCAAAGGCGGCTGGGAGCGGGAGGCCAGGGCAGCAGGGGACGCTGAGCCCCGGGAAAAACCCCATCCCGCTTCTAGGTCCACGAGCGGGGGCTTTGGAGGTCGGGCTCTGGCTGTGAAGGGGCTGGCTGTTCCAGATGTCATGGGGGTAGGGACCCAGATGTTAGGAGAGGGTGGGGGGCATTAGGTTATCTCTGAAGGTGGGGCTTAATTTCCTTTAATAGTCTTTAATTACTCCCCTTCCTTCTGCAGGCAGTGGGAGGGAAGGCTCGCCAGGCCTCTCCCAGCCACCTAGAGACCCTGCAGGTAGCTTGGGTTTCGCCTGTGAGTAAACCCTCCAGGCAGGCTGTGTCCCTCCCATAGAAGGGAAGACAGGGCTGCCGTGGGGGTTAACAGCCTGGCCTGGTGAGGTCACGGGGCCAGGCACAGGCAGGCGGGCTTGGCCTGGCAGGGACAGAGGTAGTCCCTGACCCAGAGAGGTATGGGCAGGAAGGAGCCAGCTGGCCCTCCTTCCCACAGCCTGTGGGGCCGTCTCAGGGGCTCTTCAGCCCCGGGATCCACCTTCGGGGTTTTGAGTAGCTGGGGTGAGACCTGCTGCTGCTCTTAGGTGCTTAACCGCGGAGCACTTAGCCATCCGAGGCTTGCCTGGAAGCCAAACACGCAGAAGCAAGCATCCTGAACTGTTCTTATTTAAAGTATATGTGTGGGAGAGGGCACCTGGATCCCCCCTTCCAGCAGGCTCTGTGGGACCCCATCTGCCAGCCCCTGACTGACCCAAGAGGAGAAAGCAGCTCTTCAGGAGTCAAGGGGGTGCAGTTGGGGTTGAGGGTTCCCAGGGAAGGGTGGGGAGGGGCAGGCAGAGAGAGCAAGCCATCTGGAGTGGACTAAGATGGGACGCTCTGGAATTGCTGCTGGGGCTGTTGGGGGGGCCCTGATATCCCCTCTTTTCTGATTAATAAAATGTCAACATACATTTCTCCAAATGGCTGCCTTCTTAGCTTCTGTTTGTTGGGTTGTGGGAAAGAGGGAGGAAAGCAAGGAAGACCCTGTCTCCATTCTACCCACCATGCCACCAGCTCCTTGGCTCAACTTCCGGGGGCCAGAGGTAGCTCCCACCAGGCTGGGAGAGCCCCCAGGCTGGCAGTCTGATTCAGCAGGACGGCTGGCACATGCCCAGTGTCCTGGGGCTGACGGCCCTGCTCAGATGGCTATCTGGGGAGGGATGAGTCCTACCTCTTCATCTCTTCTCCCTTCTCTGGCCTATCTCCCTCATCTCAGGGGAGGGGCGAGTTGGGGCCTATTGGCAGAGGTGGAAAATTCCCAGCAGGACTGGTTCCTAGAGAAACAGGACACTGTGGGTCGGGTTCCTGCCTCTAAAGTTACAAAGTTACCCAGTCTCAGCATTCTGAGTTCAGGGGCCTAAAAACATCACCCTTTTCACCCGATGTATTTGCTGCTGCTTCAGATCGCATCTGTGATGCTCACTTTTTTTTTTTTAAAGATTTATTTATTTATTTATACAAGCACTGGGTACAGTCAGAAGCCCGGGAGGGTGAGAGAATTCACCAGAGCCAGAGTGGGGAACAGAACAGGCAGACAGACGGAGGACACTGCTGAGGGGAGCAGCGGGCGTGGCAGGAGGGGTCTGCGCGCCATGTGGGACCCTCGCCGGTGGTCAGGGATCGAACCGGGGCTGCAGAGGCCGCAGGCAGCTTTGCAGCCCAGCACTCAACCACTGTGCCACCAGGGAGGCCCGATGCTCACTTTTTTATCTTAGCTTTTATTGTTGACTAAGAGGCGAAAAGTTGCCTCCCATCAGTCATTAACACTTTAGTCTGAACAAACCATAGATCTGTTTCTAAATGCTGGCATTAACTGGGGAAGTTAAGGCACGGGTGTACTTCAAAGGGGAGGCTGGTTCTGCACAGAAAAGTGGACCAGAACCCAGAGGGAGCTCCCACTTTCTGCATTCATTCTCCAACTGTACCTACAAACAGCTGGGGAGATGGTCAGAGGCAAGAGCTTTAACTCTTACCCAGAGCAGAGTCAACCACCAGGCCATTTCATAGCCTTTTAGTGAAGCTGTTATTGGAGCCACAGCCCAGCCACTCTCCTTCCTAGAAACTAGGGAGATAAGAGCATCTGTCCTAGAGTCTAGAGATCCCTGAATTGGTGAAGTGTACTAGCTGGAGGCTCTGGGGAGCAGGTACGGGCCCCCACCCTAGTCAGACTGTCAGTGTCACCGAGGAGAAAGGAGGAAACCTCTATTCAGCACCTTTTGAGCTCGAGGGGCAGGGTGTGTCCCGCCATTATCTCTGCCAGGGTCAGTGATTAGCCACCTTTTCTACGGGTGGGGAAACCAAGGTTCCGAGCGAGGGCACATGAGCCCCTGCGCCGTATAACCAGTGCATGGTGGAGGCTGGACCCAAGTCTCCCTTGCCCAGAGCTTTTGCTGGCCTCAGTTTCCCCAGCTGACAAGAGAACCTCTTTCCTTTGACATCCTAAGCTCCTCTGGCTGGAAGGGCTTTCAGCCTCACCATCCAGAGGCTTTGGCATCTAGTAACGATACCAGCAACACCCAAAATGAGAATCCCCAAGTTCCACACCAGGGCTCAGCTCACATTGTCCGCCGAGGCCTCACAACCACCATTTTCGAGATGCAAAAGTGAGGCAGGCACCATCAAAGTGACATCACCCAGTCCAATGTGGCTGAGGGGGCAGCCAACCGGCCCTGCCTTTAAAATCTGTGCTCTTTGAGAGAAAGGAAGAAAAATGCCTGGCATTTCTCAACATGCGTCAGAATGCTTTGGGGGTGCTTATAAAGTATCAGGATGGCAGACTGCTCCCCTAAACCTGCTGCATCAGACTAGAGGCAGGATCTGGGAGTATGCATTTTCACCAGCTCCTTGGGTAGGAGGCAGAATTGAGAATCTCCCCACTAAATATGCCGCCTCTGGAAATGCAGGAAAACGGGGTGAGTAGGATACTTGTGGAAAGCAAGAACAAGGGCCAGATCAACACTCCACATCTCCATACCCCTCCACCCTGCCCCTACCCCCAGTGCCCAGGCCAGGTCAGTACCTGTGGGGACTTGTCCTGCTCAGGGGGAGAAATTAACTCCCTCGGTGCCCTGATGGGAGCAACAGGTTCATATGCAAATACTAGGTTCCTCCTAGTCAGTCCTGAGCTCCTGCTCTGGGAAGGGGCCGGGCTTCCAGGACTGGAGCCAGTGAGGTAGTGGCCTGGGCTGCCGGGGTGGGGCCAGGGGCTTTTAAACCATCTGCCAAGGGCCTGTGGGGTAGCATCGGGTTTGGAGGCCCAGGCCCAGTCCGTGGCCGGCATGTCCATGCAGAGGATGGTGCGCGTGTCCCTGGAGCACCCCACTAGCGCTGTGTGTGTGGCTGGCGTGGAAACCCTCGTGGACATTTATGGGTGAGTGGCAGCAGCCTAGGGGGGTGCAGGCATCGGGGCTCTCTCAGCAGGCCGTACAGGGCTTCCTGGGGCCCAGGCCTGGCCTGACAGACCTCTCTCAAGCCTTGGCCTTGGAACAGCAGCCATTTCTGGAAACGCTGGGTCCTCCCCTTTCTCATCTGGGCATCTTGAAGACCTCAGCCAGGGGACTTGAAGTCGGGGACACTGACCGGGACAGAGAGGCTCGGAATGGTTGAGTTCCCATCTAGGGTTTTGGAGGACGCTGGTGCCACATGGCTTTGGCACTTTTTTCTGTTCAGATTGGGCTGGAGGTCTGGTTGGAAACACAAGAATAAGAAGAGATATGTCCTTCCCCAGCTCCAGCCTGTGAGCTCTGAAACAGCGTCAGTCGTTGAACAAATCACTTCGACGTACACAGCACTTTCCTGTGCCCGGCCTGGCCTGAGAGCTTGGAAGGCCTCTTGAATTAGCCTCTTGGACTTTAACTCTTGAATTTAACTTTCACAACTTTCACAAGCTGAGACACAGTGAGGGCAGACCATTTGCTTGAGTCACACAGTTACTAAGTGGCTTTAAACCCATTTGTGGTCAAGTGTCTTATGACCGACTGTGTGCCGTGAACTTGTCCCTCACTCTGGTGGCTGGAGGTGAGGCCCCACCTTCTCTCTCCCCCAGGAAGGAGAGTTTGGGCAGGGTCTCAGCAGCTGGGAACCACAACAGGGCTGAGGAGTCTCCAGAGGACAAACGTGGCCAGGACTGGGACAGGAGCAGGCTATTCCTAAAACTGGAGTGAACTTAGCTGGAAGAAGAGAGGGGGTTGGCTCCAGGGCATCAGACGAGGGGGTGAGGAGCTGGCCACTGGAAGGGATCAAGTCTGGGCTGAAGCCTGGTGGAGAGTGGGTAGCGACCTGCAGGGTGGGAAGGGGATTTGGTGTCTCCTGAAAGAGGAGGGCAGCCTCAAGGCAGTGTCAGGAGGGCTCAAGCGGAAGGAGGGGTTCTGTGCCGCCTGGCGCCACCGCCTCCCCCATTGCTGCCTGACCATGGGGGTGACTCACCCGCTCTGGCTGCTTCATACCCCTCGGGCAGATGTGTCTGCACTCTGACCTGCCTGGGAAGCCCAGGCCGCCCTCCCCCACAGGACTTCGTTAACGGGTGGAGGATGGATTGGGGTGACAAGAGGCAGAGGCAGCAGTATTTGGGGGGGTAGCATGAATGGATGGGCCATGTTGGGGGTCGCAGAAGAGTTAGTGGGTGGCACAGTCACGGGGTGGGCAGCAGAGCCTCTGGCACCAACAGAGGAGGGATGCTTGGGCCTCTGTGACGGGACCACCTTTGGAGGGGGGATGGAGGGGATCCTAGTTGGTTCATTCACACATTCATCAAGTATTTTGGGGGATCTAGTATGTGCCAGGCATGGGGACACAATGGTGAGCAGGCGGGTTAGTCCCTGACCTCCGAGAACCCTGTCCTTGGAGTTGGAGCAGAGGCTGGACCCCCTTATGAGGGTGCAGCAAGGGTTAACTCTAAGGTCCTTTCCAACTTAGAGGTGCTAAGTTTACAATCCGGGGTGCTCAGACTGTGAGACAGCCAGAGAAAAGACAGCGGGCACATGTCTCCCCCTGGCTCTGTGGCTTAGCAGCTGTGTGACCTTGGGAAGGTCGCTTAACATCTGAGTCTGTTTCCTCATCTGCAGAATGGAGATAGTAATAACACCAGCGCTGGTACTTAGGGCCTGTTCCATACCAGTCACTGCCCTTAGCGATTGGCAGATGTAATTCTCACAATTCTATCAGGCGGGACTACTGTCACCCCCTCTTCATAGGTGAGGAAACTGAGGCACAGAGAGGTTAGGTAACTTACCCCATGTCACACAGCCAGTGAGGAATGGCAGAGCAAAATTTGGCCTTTACTTCTCACAGCTGTTGGGAAGACTGAACGAGGTTGTGCGCGTACAGCCTGTAGGTGATGCCTAAATGGGGTAAATGGTCAATGATTGAGGCTACTGCCACCACCACCCTGTCATCATCACATCACTTTAAGGCTCTGTCCTGGCCCTCTGGATAGCTTCACGTATCCCCAAAACTACCAGAAGCACAACCTCTGAACCATATCAGAAGGAAGAGATGAGAAAAGAGAAATTGGCATAGACTGAGCAGTCAGGGCAGGCTTCCTGGAGGAAGGGCACTACCAGAGCCTTGAAGGATGCACACAGGCAAGACCACGAGGACTCTCTGTCTGTGGCAATGGATTAAACCCTGTCTTCCTGCCTTCTGTTGCTAGCCCAGACTAGCTCAGGGGCCTTTGCTTTATGGAGCAGGGCCTCGAAGAGGGAAAGGAAAAGTAGGGTAATACAGGAACGTGCCGAGCCATGCATTCAGGAGGATGTGCTGCCCCAATGGGAAGGGCAAATGTCACCCCTTGCTCTGCAGCGTGTCTAAATGTGTGAAAGGCCTGGGCACCCTGTCATCCTTTGCTGTGTCATCTTGAACAATTTTCTGCCTTTCCCCACATGGCCCTGAAGAGTTTAGCATTGAACAGTGAATTTCAAGCTCTGCTCTAGAGGCCTTTGAGTTCCTGACTGACAAAGCAACACCCTTCTGTCTGGCTTTTGTTCCACATAAGAGGTCTGCCCCGCCAGGTGGGGAACTGGGCCTGGGAGGCTGATGCATTGTCTACTCTCTAAACTCTAAGGGTTTTGGAGAAAGAGTTTGTATGGCTGCCATTTTCCAGGCATGGAAGAACGCAGCAATTTCCTGGCCCTGTTTCTGTTTGGGAGGCTGGCAGACTTAGGGTCTGGGAGTCTGCAGGGTGGGAAGGGGCAGCCACCTGCCATCCAGGCCTTGGTCTCCTCTGCCCAGGGGGCCGGCTGAGTGGGGGCTGATCTCATCAACCCTCTGTTTCTTGGGTCTGAAATGTCTGGTTTTGTTCTCCCGGAGTCTGAGGCCCCAAGCCCTGTAGGGAGAGGGTGGGGTGGCTACACAAGCGTGTGAGGACAGAACGGAAGGTGAGTCCTGGCTCTGTCATCAGCTGTGTGACTGTGGGCAAGTCACCTGCCATCTGAGCCTCACCTGTAAGGTGGGGGTAATGTACCGACTTCACATGGCAGAGACCTTCATCACCCTCCCCGTCGTTGAGGGGGTGACCCAAGACCAGACAGGAGACCTGACTTGTGTTGGCTCCCAGGAGGAGGGGGGCTCACCTTGGGTCGTCCCCACACTTCCCGGGGGACCTGGGTCCTGGATTCCTGGGGCAGTGTCCCCAAGCCGTGGTTCTCAGACTTCCCTGGGCATCAGCCAAGTTTAAAGTGCAGACTCCAGCCCTGCAGCACGTCTGGCCCTAAAATTTGCATTTTCAGCTGGCAGGCCTGAGGGTTGCTGCTGTGGGGGTGCCTAAGCCCTTCTAGGTTTTAGCACTGCAAGTCCTGCCCTTGGAAACACCCTCTCCCTTTGCAAACTGGAACTGCCAGCCACCCCCATCCACCATTTCCTAGGTGCCAGTGCCAGTGGAGTGGAAGCTGGGCCCTTGGGCAGATCAGAGGGCTCAGGCCAGGGGTCAGAGGGGCTTAGACTGTGCTCTGCCTGGACAGCCTCAGGTGGGAGAAGCCAGGCCCCAAGCCACAAGTGCCCCTTGCCAGGGCTGGGCGGGGAGCATGGTCTAGAGCAGATGGCAGCTCAGGGTGACCTGGTCAGAGGAAGGATTTTGCCTCTGGCCACTTCCCCTGTCCTCTGGAAAATGGGAAATCCATCTTCTCCTGGGCCTGATGCAGGCTGTCCTCCCATTCCACACCGTCTCAAAAAAAAAAAAAAAAAAACCCCACTAAAAACCACACACAGTCTCCATGACAGCTTCCCAGCACAGGGCTGGGAGTCGAGTTCTACCTTCTAATCTCCCCTTCCCGAACTCAGTTTCCCCAGCAGTGAAATGAGGGCAGGCGTGGGCATGGGTGCCTCTGACTTTCACTCTCTCTGGATGTTTACACACACCTACTCTTTTAATCCTCTCATCATCCCCCTTTATAGACAGGGAAACTGAGGCAGAGGGCGGCCACGTCATTCCCTCAAGGTCACACACCTTGAGAGGTGGGGCTGGATTTGAACCCTGGCTGCTTGGGCCTGGTGTCCCCAGGCCTGGCCATCTTGCCACAGCTTCTTGTCTTGCCCCTCCCGATGGAGAATCAGCGCCGTCTTGGTCTCCTCGTAATAGAGGGACGAAAGCAGGTTTTGGGGCGAGTTCTACTTAACCTCCTAAGACTCCACGGTGAAAACGCCTTCCCCAGATGTGCCTCCTCCCTTGTCCTTGGCTCGCCTGCCTGCCTCTGGGAACCTTCCCGGACACCCAGCCCACCCTCTCCACTGCCTCTGCGCCCATTTCCTGCCCCTCATTGGCCTGAGCTCTCCCGGTCCTGGGAGGGTGGTTTCCGAGTCTTCCCTGTTATTGCATTTGCGCCTCACATTTGCTGGTAGGTTTGGCCAAATGGGTGTCATTGTCTCCCCTTTTTGTTTTAAAGATTTATTTTTGCACAGAAGAACTGGGGTACAGGCCAGAGGCATGGGAGGGTGAGAGGATTCACCAGAGACAGAGTGGGGAGCAGAACAGGCAGGTTGACTGAAATACACTGCTGAGGGGAGCAGCGGGCGAGACGGGAGCGGTCTGCTGTGCCATGTGGGTATCTCCCTGGCCGGGGATTGAACTCAAGCTGCAATGGCTGTGGACAACTTCACAGGTTGCATCTTAACCCCTTGCGCCACCAGGGAGGCCCCTATTGGTCCCTTTTATTGGTGAGGTTACTGAGCCCAGGGAAGCAAGGTGGGCTATTCAAGGTCACCTGACAGGTGTGCCACGCAGCCCATCTAGCACCTTAACTCTGGCGCCAGCACCCACAAGCTCCCTACTTCTTTGGCTCCTCCTAGGCAGGTGTGCTACCTTATCAGGGTCCCCTAGAGCTCCATGCCAAGCCAGGGAGGTGTAGGGTTGCTGGGCTGAAATACCCCAAACCCAGGGAAACTGGGTGGGGCTTCACACCCACAGGGTCATCAAGGGTGCTCAGGGGGTGCCTGGCATCCACGGAGCAACTTGGGGTTGGGGAGAGCTCCATATAAAGTTTACAAGCTTCCTGGGGAGCTGGAGGTTGGGCATCTCAGGGGATGGGGCTAAGGAAGTGCTGAGAGTGCTCCCTGGGGAGGGAGGAGGCTGTGACCCAACTGCCTCCATGTGTCTCTCTGTCTGGTTCTCCGTGTCTGTCTCTCTGTCCGTGCACCTCTACCCAGCTCCTCCACTGTTCCCTGATGGGGTCACCAAGGACAGAGGGAAGCACCCTCTCCAGGTTAGCTGTAGACTTTGGGGGTAGGGTCACCAGATAACACCCAGGATGCTGAGTTAAATTTGAAATCCAGATAATTCGTAGTTTTCAGTACAGGCATATCCTGAATTATTTGTTGTTTCTCTAAAATTCAAGTCCAACTGTGTGTCCTGCATTTTTATGTGCTGAATCCAGGAGCCTTGCTTGGGAGGCCACATGGTGGAGGAGCGAGGAGGGTGTTTTGAAGGCAGTTGCTCCCCTCCCAGCGGAGCGGGGTGGTGTCTCGGGTGAACTGGCCAGCTGTGGCCCCTCGGGGAAGGCTCTTGCCTGTCCTGAGCGTCAGTTCCCAACATGTAAACGGCAATAATAATAATCCCGGCCTCCCGGACTGGTGCTAGAAAGGCTGCGGGGGTAAGTGTGCTGGGGATGGGGGCCTCGGGGTCACGGTTATTGTTAGTACTCTTGTTATTACTCAGGAGCCGGATGTCTTTGGTTAGGATCCCTTCTCCAAGCCCTTGGACCTCAGAGTGCCCATCTGTGAAATGGGAGACAGTAGTAGCACCACCTCTTAGGGTTAGTGAGCAGGTTACACGACATAAGACACACCAAGAAACTCCGGGGGCGCCCAGAGCAAGAGCTCAGGAAGCGTCCCTGAGGTTGTCCCTCTGGGGCGTGTGTGCCCTTCCTCCAGAAAGCCTCTGGTCCCTCTGGTTCATAGTGGCTTCTTCTTACATAGAATCCCAGTGGCCCCTGACTCCTAGGCCTTAAATTCATTTGGCTGTCCTGGGCAGGGCTCTGTCCTCCGCGCCCCAGCAGGATCAAAGGCTCTGGGGCAGTGTGTGTATCTGCCTGTGTGCACAGTGGGTCCACAGAAATAAGGTGAACGGACTGATTTCAAATAGGACTCCCAGAGTCCCCACTGGAGTGGGGAAGGCAGAGCCAGGACCAGATGACATCAGGGACTTTGAACCCTACAATTAATGTCTGGGAAAGCCACAAGGGATGTGTTAATGAATGCAAAACTCCTGAATGTGAATAATGTGGGTACAGAAGCTTGCGGGGAGGAACTGAGAGAGGCCTGGAGTGGTCAGGGAAGGCTTCCTGGAGGAAGTGATGTTTACACCAAAGCTCAAGCGTCGGTACCAGGGCTGTCCCTTCTAGCACTTTTATGGCTTGTTTCTCCCCAGGTCGGTACCTGAGGGCACGGAGATGTTTGAGGTCTACGGGACCCCCGGCGTGGACATCTACATCTCTCCCGGTGTGACCAGGCGCGGGGAGCGGGAGCGCGCCGACACCAGGCGCTGGCACTTTAATTCAGGCTCGGAGATCATTGTGATCATGAACTCTCCCAGCAACGATGTCAATGACAGCCATGTGAGCAGGTCCCCTGGTCTGTGGCTGGGATGGGGGGCAGTATCCAGCACCGCAGGGCCAGGCCCTCTCTTTGCCCGGGGATGGGGGTAGCCAGTGGGTATGTTCTGCACACTGCATGCCACCAGCCGTCACATCACCCGTTTCCTCATCTGTAAAGTGGGGAGAGTCACGGCACCTTCCTTCCAGTGTTACCACTGGGAGGGGCCTGAGCAGCGTTGGCGCCTTCTCTTGCTTCCCAAGACCCCTTCCTGTTCTATATGGGACCTCAGTTTCCCCATCTGTAATGGGGGTTGATAAGGTGGTCTCTGCCACTCTCAATGAAAGAGGAAATGGCTGGGGGAGGGACCCCTTCCCCAAGCTGCCTCGCTTCCCCTTGGTTCTTCTGTGCTCTGCCCCACCCCAGCCCTCTCAGAGGCACCATCACTTCCCCTCCTGGCCTCCCTGCTCATCCAGTGAGCAGGGGTGAGTCTCAGAGGCCCCAGATGTAAGCAATATTCCAGCCCCAGAGCAGGGGCATTTAATAGAGAAATGGGGTGGTCCTTGAGCCGGGCACAGGAGAGCCCCCTTATTGGGGTGATGGGAAGCTGCCTGTGTGGGAGCAGCAGCTTCCCTCTCTGCTCAGGAGTGACATTTGGGAAACTGGCCCTTTAAGGAGCACTGAGCAGGCGGAGGCACCCCAGGGCCCTAACCTCATCCAGCCCTCACAGCAGCCCTGAGAGGCCACATCTGATCCCCACTGCACAGGTGGGGCCCCTGAGGTTCGGAGTAACTGTCTCCAGGGCCACACAGCTGACCAGGAAAGCTAGAATTTAGTAGACCTGCCCGACGCATAGGGGTACACGTCCTCCATCACCCCATGACCCATCCTGTCTATGCGTCTAGACTAAGCCTCTCTGCTGAGGCTGGTGGGGGGGGTTCTCAATGAACCCATTTTACAGAAGTATAAACTGTTACAGAGGTGGAGGTAGTTTACCCGAATCACGTGATCAGTGAGCAGTGGAGTTGGTGAGGGTTCCCACAGCAGGAAAGAGAACCAGCCAGCCTGGGAGGGGCCCCTCCTGGGTGCCCTGCTGTGTGGGTGCCCTGCTGTGTGGGTGACTCATCCTTGCCCCAAGGATGACAGCGGTTGAGGAGGGCATGGAAAAAGATAGCACAAAGAAGGTTAAAGGAAGACTTAGGTTGATAAACTGAGTATTAGTAGCCAGAGATTCTTGAGACCTCTTTCCTTCCTCACCTGATCCCCCAAGGTCTGTCTTTTGGGGTAGGGACTCTTGGCTTCAGCTGGTTTGATCCTGGGCCCATCTGTCCACAGATTCAGATCTCCTACCACTCCAACCACAAGCCTAGGCCCCTGGCCTACGCGGTGCTCTACCTCACCTGTATTGGTAAGTTAGGGGTGTGCTGAGGGCCTGGCCAGGGGCCCCAGCCAAGGGCAGGGTGGGGACTGGTTAGTAATGACATTGAACAAGTGCATATTTAAAATATCACATCGTAAAAGAGTATACAGTCAAAAGCAAACCTTCCTTCCTCTAACCTAAGACAGTTCTCCCAGCCCAGCATCCTTCTAGAAATAGGCTGTGCTTATACAAGGAGACACATGCCTACCTGTCTATTTCCCCCCTTTGTAAGCAAACGGAAGCATTCTATAGACATGGAGCTGGACCTTGCTTTTTCTAACTTGAATTTTGTCTGCCAATTCCCCACTAATTGACGGTTTGTAAACTGCATGCAAGATGACTCAGATGTTGGCACCATCAGAAAGGAAATGTAGGCGACGTGATTAGTAAGTTAAAGGCGCTAGAGGAAAAGATGAATTGCATGCATGAACAGATGGCATGTCAGCATGATGAGAGCAAGAAGGAGCCGAATGGAAACACTAGAAATAAAAATCGCAGTTAGAGAGAGAAAAATGCCTTTGATGGCTTCACAGGTAGACTCACCTGAGCTGGAGAACTGGTGACCTTGAAGATGGGGCAGCAGAAGCCACCCCGATGAGACACGAAGAGAGAAGGGAAGTGCAGTGAACAAAAATGCCAGAGCCAAGATCCAAGACCTCTGGGGCAGTGCCAGTCACACTCACTGACATTCTTAGCCAAGTCCCAACTGGCTCTGTTATAAAACTTTCTAGAACCAAGGGCCTCCCTGGTGGCAAAAGGGGTTAAGTACAGCACTATGAGGCAATCTGCAGCCTCTGCAGTACAAATTTGATCCCCAGCCGGCCAGGGAGCTACCCACATGGCACAGCAGACCTCTCCTGTCTCCCGCTGCTCCCCTCAGCAGTGTATTTCAGTCAGTCCGCCTGTTCTGTTCTCCACTCTGTCTCTGGGGAAAACCTCTGACCTGTGCCCCAGCTCTTGTATGCATAAATAAATAAATCTTAAAAAAAAAATTAAAACTTTCTAGAGCTGATCCTAAAACTCATATGCAAAAGCAGAGTGAGAAGAGCCAAACCTCTTTTGAAGGAGAGGCAGGTGAGGGGATTCAAGGCCTCTGTTTTCAAGCTACAATGCTTGAGGCCGTGTGAAATCGGTTTCCATGGAGACCATGGGCAAAGAAAGACCTGGACAACAACCCTCATTCAGGTGTTTATCATATCAGAATGAAAGATTTTCACACCTCCTCAAAAATAAACTTCAGATAAGGTAAAAATCTTAAAATCAATATCTTAAAGCTTTTAGAAGACACTATCTGTAACTTAAAAGTGGCAAAGATTTTCTTTAGTAAGGTGAAAGAAAAATGCAGCCCATATAGAGGGGAAAGACTAATACATTAGACTGTATTCAAATTTGAAATTTGTATATGACAGAGGACAGGTGAAAAGTCAAATGATGGCCTGGGAGAAGAAATTAGCAATTCATTTAGTTGACTCGGTACATATAAGTTATGGGGAGCTCCAGACCCCCCCACAACCCCAGTTCATAGTTATGAGCAGAAAATATGAACAAGCAATTCATAGCAGAGAAAGTCCCAGTGATCAGAATGCTTAACTCACTTAGTGTGGCCAAGAGCGTGGAACTGGGGCGCTCCCTGTACTACGGGTAGGAGTTTGCGTGGGCACAGGCACTTGGCAAGCACTTAGCAAGAAAGGGGAAAATGCTCATTTTCACATTTTTAAAAGCAGGGCTGCAGAGTTATAGAGACTGTCCATTGAAATGTTTGATACCTATTGCTAGATTGTTCTCCAAAAAGAGCGCGTGGTTTACACACCTGCCGTGTTTGGGAGCACCTTGGCAACATTCGCTACCAACCTTTTCTGTTTCTGCCAACCTCCTGAGAGGTTGCTTTCATTTGCCTTTCTTTAGTTAGGACTAAGATTGGCTCTCTACCTCCCATCCCCTACCCCAACACACACCCCCTGTTCAAAGTATATTAAGCTTCACTGATGTGTACACATACACACACACTCACGCACACTCACTCACAAACAGTGATAAAGCAGCCATCGCCGGTTCAGAAATAGAACATGACCAACGTGCCCCCACTGTATCCCTCTTCCGTGCTGCTCTCTGATCATAAACACCCCCCTCTTTCCCCTGAGCTAACTACTCTCTTGTCATCAGTAGAAATCTTACGATTTTCTTCATGGTTTTATCATCTGAATATACATTCCCGAATAATACCGTCTCCTTCTGCCAATCTCTGAATTTTCTGTGGCTGGACCATCCCGTACGTCTTCTTTGGCACCGACTTTCTTTTGCTCCTTATGGCTGTGATATTTACCCACCTGTCACGTGGTGGGTGGGTATCTTTTTGCATGTCTAAAAGTCATTTCAAATGCTTTCTCTCTCTCCGTGCTCTTCCACCCCCCTCCCCCCTGGAACGCTTCTATCTGTGTTGTAAAACCTTATTTCTAGGGAGAAGAGTTGAGAGGGTGGAATGGGGGCGGGGGTTGGACTTGGGAGTGTGAGATGAAGTTGAGGCTCAGAGGTGCCACACAGCCAGTAGGTAGCAGAGGCTGGATTCACGTCTACATCTGTCTGATCCCCAGTCCAGGCTCAGAAAGTTTCATCCAGACCGAGAAAGTCCAGGGCAACCTGTGCTGGGGGAAGGGCAGGCCCCAGTCAGCAGGGCTGTCAGGATGCAGAAGAGGGAGGGGTCAGGGAAGGCTTCCTCAAAGGGAGCAGACTTGACCTGGGCCTGGACCTGGGCCTGGGCCTGCTGCTTCTTCCCTAAGCCTCTTCCCCAGTTCAGGAAGGGGGGCTCCACATGCCCCCCAATCTGGCAGTGTCTCCTTGGAATTGACTTCCATTTCCTAGCCCCAGATGGTTCATGAGGTGGAGCCACCTGTGGAGGCTCAGGCCTGTGTTGGGCTCCTGGGAACCTAGTGACTTACCCTCTGTCCTCCCGTTGCAGACATCACTCTGGATTGTGACGTGAACTGTGAGGGCAGGCAGGACAGGAGCTTTGTGGACAAGGTAGGGCATCTCAGCCTGGGCCCAGAAAGGGGTGTGGCGCGCGCAGCTGCGCTAGGCCGGGTTAGGAGGGATGAGTCCATTACAGGTATCCCTCTGCCTCCTCGTTGATGTTGAGGTCAGGAACCAGGCACAGCTGGGGATCTCCTTTCACCAGGAGAAAAATCATCACCAAGAATTATCAGGCCCCAATGTGCCCAGTCCTGGGTTAGGCCTTGCTTTGTGGGGAGCAGTCATTCTCTGTTTACAATCTAGGTCGGGGGTCAGCAGAATTTTTCTATGAAAGCAGGAGAGTAAATTTTTAGACTTTGGAGCTCTACTGTCTCTGTTCCAATTACTCCATTCTGACATGGTAGGTGTGGAAGAGCTATAGTCAATAAGGAAGTCCATGGTTGTGACTGTGTTCCAATAAAACTTTATTGACAAGAACAGGCCTTTGTGTGCTGACCCTCTGTTCTAGGTGAAAAGAGAAACCTACCAAGTTTGAAACATAAAGAGCCTTGGGCTGAATTGTGGTGACATTAAAAGCATTGGGAATTCAGAGAAGGTGGAAGAGGGCTGAGCAAGGAAGACTTCTTTTCCAAGTCTACTTGACCTGGGGTTCAAAGCCAAGCAAAAGAGGGCACTCCTAGTGGAGGGCACAGCAGACCCAAGGCTGGAGGGAAGGATGGATTCATCATGGGAAGGTTGCCTCTTGGGGTAGGAGGACACAGACTGCGCACAGTTAGGGGAGGCAGCTGTGTGATCTGGACTTGATGGTGTGGGCAGTAGGGAGCCATGGCAGATTCTTGAGCAGGAGAGGGGACCTGTCCTCACAGGGGAGAGTGAAGGAGGCCGGGGAAGTGGTCCCCAGGTTGGGTCCAAGTCCCATCGCCAGCTATGGTTTGCTCTTGGCAGAGACAATGGGTCTGGGGACCTGGTGGATACGGAGCCATCCTGCTGGTGAACTGTGACAGGGATGACGTGACCTGTAATGACCAGGACAACTCTGACCAGCATGTGCACTGCCTGCAAGGTGAGGGGAGTGGGCAGCCCATGCCCCAGGGTGTCCAGGGTCACTGCTCAGTTAGCCTGTAGGGACCCCTGCCCCGGGGGGGGGGGGCGGGCTCTGACAGCAGAGCTCAGGGCCTGAGTTCCAGCTCCCCAACACACCTTGACATCCTGACCAGCCTCAGGCTGGTGGCCATCCTCCCACCCTCCGGGGCCAGCGGGCACTCACCTGAGGGGCTGAACCTGGAAAGGACCTATCCTCACAGGGAAGGGTGAGAGGGAAGAGTCTGGGGTTGGCTCACCTTCTCAGGGGTACCAGCCGTGTTTGAGCATGTTCTGTGTGCCAGACCCTTTCCTTAACTCTCATGTAATTTTCTAAGTGGGAGGGTAGCATCACCCCAATTTAGAGATGAGGCTGTTGAGGCTCAGAGGCCCGGAGATGCCTGAAATCACTTGGTCTGTGGCTGATGAATGCTTCCTTTTCCCACCCTGAATCCAGCCTCCGCCCCAAGCACCTCTGGTGTGCGTTTCAGGGACGCCCCACATCCTGTTAATGTACCCCAGTCCTGTGAAGAAGGTTGAAGCAATATCCCAGGGCATGGGCCATGTGCTTTATACACAAGACACTCCCAGCCACGCAAACATGGGCATAATTGTCCCTCATTTCAGAGGCAGGAATGCTGAGGCTCAGGGAGGGCAGGGATTGACCAGGGTCAGCCTGAGTGATGCTGGGACTGAGGCCAGAATCCTCACCTATAACACTCAAGTGACCTCCCGGCCCTCTCCAGCACCCCTTCTGTGCCAGGCACCCAGCTGGCCCTCTGCACTTCCTGTTTCTCTGGGCAGATGAGGACACAGAGGCCCAGAGAGAGTGTTATGCTTCTGCATCACCCACTTCCAGGCGGCTTCCTGGTCTGCTCTTGATGGCTTCCAGTGTGTTCACAGGGCAGAGCTGGGGCTCCAAGACCAATTCTTGGCCCTGACTGCCCTGGGGAGGGCAGCGAGCAGCAGGAGGACGTGCTGGAGTTTGGAGGTCCCCTGAGGTGCCGCCCTGTCTGGCCCCACAGACCTGGAAGACATGTCCATCATGGTCCTGCGGACACAAGGCCCCGCCGCCCTCTTTGACGACCACAAACTTGTCCTCCACACCTCCAGCTATGATGCCAAGCGGGCACGCGTCTACCACGCCTGTGGTGAGTACGTGCCTGTCCCCCACTGCTTGTAGGGGGGCCTCGGGTTCCCCAATAGAGCTGGGGGGCAGGCTCTGCTCTGGCCCCTGAGCTGATCTGGGGCTCCTAGGTAGAACAGTCAGATGCGGGATCTCTGGAATTGGTCAGCTGGTGTCCCCCAACAACCATGGCTCAAGCTCATCTTATTGGATAAATGGATTTTTAAAATATATTTTAAGTACAATTAGAAATTTTTATTATTGAAACTCTCAAACATACACAGAAGCAGAGAGAACAGTGAAACCAACCCTCATAGCTAGCCGCTCACGTTAGTCATCACTGTCACCTTTCTTGACACATCTGACACTTTCTGCTTGCTGAGGTGATTTAAAGCCTGTCACAGACGCCATGGCCATTGATCCATTGTGACTCAGTGAGCTTCATGAGGCCACCAGGCCATTATCCCACTACAGAAAAGGATGTACAATAGCTTTAAAAAATCTATTTCTACATGTGTAATAAGATAATCATGTTTTAAAAGATCAAAAATATAGACGCACATAAAGTAAAAAAATGAGTCCTCAATCCCTACTCCCAAACCTGACTCTTAAAATGTATTCACTGTTCGTCATTCAATATATGTTCTTTCTGAATTTTTTCTATATATGCTAAATGTGTGTGCGTGGCACGTACATATTCTGCTGTTCACACTGTATCTTTTGTTGAGTCATGCATCCTACACATCTTTCTGCATATATGTTTAACTCTTCTTCATTCTTTTACCCAGCTGTATAGTATTCCAAAGCCAGCTGGTGCTGTGACTTATTTGGTTCCTACAACATAAAGTTGCTTGCAGTGTTTTGATTTTACAACAGTACAGATTCTTGGAGGGCAGGGACATTAGTCATAGCTGAATCCTGAGTCTAGAACCATGCTTTGTATGTGCATAGTAGGTGCTCAGCAAATATTTGTTCACGAGTGGGTGAAGACCCATGAATGCTCTTGTCCGTATGCATTCTAAGAGAGATACCGCGAAGTGGAATTTCTTAATGGGGATAAACATTACTTGTTAGGTGCCTGCAAATTGCTCTCCGAAATATCTGCACACTGTCTCAGAAAAGAATGCTCTTCCCCCTGCCTCGCCCCCGCTGGTGGTGAGCATTCTTCTCTCCTGGCCTGTGGGGGCTGAGAGCTGGGAGTTGTTATCAGGACTACATTTTTTAGGTGCAGCTCTTTCTGCATCCCTCACACTCCCTAGTCCTGCTGGGGAGTCACGACGACCTCCTCCGTCTCCCTCCAGGTCCTGAGGACTCATGTGAGGCCTATAAGCACGTGCTGGGGCAGGACAAGGTGTCTTACGAGGTTCCCCGCTTCCATGGGGACGAGGAGCGCTTCTTTGTGGAGGGTCTCTCCTTCCCTGACTCCGGCTTCACGGGGCTCATCTCCTTCCACATCACCCTCCTGGATGACTCCAACGAGGTAGGGGGCAGCCGGGGCAGATGGGGAGAACGGGGGGCTCTGTTCCTGGCAGAGACGGGCGTTGCTGGCCAGAGACCCCAGACTTCTCCACCACCCACTGGTGCCTGTCTAGGGGCCTCGCCTCACACAGGTCTCTGGACTCCGAGGCCACCGCCCCTCCCTCTCGTCTTCCCTGCAGGATTTCTCCCAGTCCCCGATCTTCACTGACACGGTGGTGTTCCGTGTGGCGCCCTGGATCATGACGCCCAGCACCCTGCCGCCCCTGGAGGTGTATGTGTGCCGGTGAGTCTGGGGGGCACTGGGTGTCCTCTGACCCTGCTGGCCCTTCTGGCCCCCAGGCTGGCTCTGTCCTCAGCCCCTCTCCTTGGGCTTGTCCGCAGTGTGAGAAACAACACGTGTTTTGTGGATGCGGTGGCGGAGCTCGCCGAGAAGGCTGGCTGCAAGCTGACCATCTGCCCTCAGGCCGAGAACCGCAATGACCGCTGGATCCAGGTAATACAGTGACCAGGCAAGGCCTGGCTGGGACCCCGGTGAAGGGAGAGGCTGGCCTGTCCCAGTGGTGTGGGTGTGGGTGCTGCTGGGGCTGTGATGTCCACCCGCCCCACCCTCGGCACTGCTCCTTCTCATTCTAGACCTAGAGCTCTCCTCCTCACCTCCAGAACTTTCTAGGGTCCCAGGCGCACGTGGACATTGGATTCAACACACATTTACTCACAGGATCTGGGCTGGGCACTGGGCTGGGGCTGAAGGCAGGGCCTTCTCCCTGCTGTCAATGGTCTGGGCCAGTGGTTCTCAAAGGAACAGGATGTTGTTCCCCAAGGGACATTGGGAAGTACCTGGAGACATCTTTGGCCGTCATGCTAGAAGCTGCAACTGGCGCTTCTCGGGTGAGCTCTGGGGATGCTGCTCAGTATCCGACAGTGCACAAAGGATGATCTGGCCCCAAATATCCTAAGTGCCCAAGACTGAGTCACCCAGAGGTGATGACTGATTGATGGCAGTAAAAATTCCCAGCCTGACGATCTCAGATGGAGCTGGCACAGCAGGGTCTGGAGGAGGTGGCATCACCTTTGGGGCCAGGGCAGAGTGCCAGGAGGGAGCCAGAGCAGATGTGGCAAATGGATAGATAGTAATTTCCATCTTTTATCGAGCCGAAGGTCCATACAGCTTCATTTCATCTTTTTGACAAGACAGCTCCCTGTTGTTACCCCTTAGGAAATGGGTCGGGGCACAGAGAGGGACTCAGTGCCTGGTGGTCCTAGCAGAGGAAAGCATGTGCAAAGGCCCAGGGGTGGAGGCCTGAGAAGGGATGCTTCCTGCTCTCTTTGGCCAGGGCCAAGTTTCTGGGGAGGGCAAGAGTCAGGGTGGGAGAGATTGAATCCCAAGCTCAGGAGCTTTTGTTTTGGCTGGAGGTTCACCCCTGAGGTGAGGAGGAAAGCGCTGGGTCTAGAATGAACGGCTGTCAGTCCCTTGTGACCACATGTGAGGGCCAAAGGTGCTGGCCCCTGAGTCTCCCCCTGTGTCCTCTCGGCCCTGGCCTGATGTGGGGACATGCCTAAGGTTCATGCGTGTTTATTCCCAACCCATCTTATTGTGTGACCCCAAGGCAGACCCCCTCTCTGAGCTCCTAACCCTTCCTCTAGTCGGCAGACATGGTGACCCCCTCCCCAAGAGCAAGGCAGGGGACCCTGTGAACAGTCTGCCCAATATGCTTAGTGTCCAGCTGGAGGAGAGGCTGCAGGCTGTCCACGTTGGGCATCTCTCTCTTCCTTTGCAGGACGAGATGGAACTGGGCTACGTGCAGGCGCCACACAAGACCTTCCCAGTGGTCTTTGACTCCCCCAGGAATGGGGAACTGCAGGACTTCCCCTACAAGAGAATCCTGGTGAGTGTCCGGCCTGCAGCTGGGCTCTTAGCTGAGGGACCTTACCTGGAGGGCCGTCCCTACAACCTCCTACTTTAGGGACAGCAACAGAGGTGCCAGGTGAAAGGCTGGTGATGCCCAGTTAAATTTGAATTTCACATATGCAATGAGTAACTTCTCGGCAAAAGTATGTCCCAGACAGTGTGTGGGACACACTTATACTAAATACATATTGTCATTTATCTGAAACTCTAATGAACAGGACATCCTGTACTTTTTATTACTAGGTCTGCAGCCCCAAGATGGGGGCAGGACAGTGCACTGCTGAGTACATAGGTTTGGAGTCGGGACCACCTGGCTTTGTCACTCATATGCTGTGTGCTCTTGCACGAGTCACGTCCCCCTCTGAGCCTCAGTTTCCTTGTCAGTAGAGAACATGTGTTAGTCCATGTGAGGTTTCGCCATGTCTACACAGAAGGGGCACACGACACTGTTACTGGTATTATTACTCCTAATAAAATAAAGAGGGTGTCTCAATGGACCTTCTAGAGGAAAGAGGGTGGACTCTCCTGGTGCCATAGAGAGTGGGAGGCCTCTCCAACCCCCCACTGGATCACATAGGGCGCAGGAGCTCTCCCCTGCACCTCAACGTTATCTAAGTTGCAACCAAGAGATGGCATGGGGAGTTCTCTCCTTCTCCAGGGGCAAAAGACTGAGGCTCAAGGGGTCACTACCAGCCTTGGCCCCCAGGGGCAGGTCACCCCAGTGCAGCCAGATACCTGCTCCTGGACTTCCAGGCAGGCCGTGTGGAGGGTCGGGGTGGCCATGGCCTTGGGCTCTCTGATGGGGGCGTCTAGGTGCACCAGGGCCCTCCTGCTGTCCCAGTGGCCATGGGCATGATATGCCCCATACGGCAGCAGGGCCAAGGCCGTGCGTTCCGACGTTGGCCTGTGCACGCAGGAAGCGCTGACTAGCTAGAGCCTCGTCTTTGACTCAGTATTTCTATTTGAAGAATAGGAGGTCCCTTCCACCCCATCTTAAGGGAGCTCAGAGTCAGAAAGTTGGTTCATGCTCTCCCCAGTGAGCCCCCAACCCAGCCTGACTCAGTTTCCCCTACCAGGGTCCGGATTTTGGCTACGTGACTCGGGAGCCACGAGACAACTCTGTGTGTGGCCTGGACTCCTTTGGGAACCTGGAGGTCAGCCCCCCAGTGGTGGCCAACGGGAAAGAGTATCCACTGGGGAGGATCCTCATTGGGGGCAACCTGCCTGGGTGAGCAAGGGACAGCGGGAGGTGTTCCTGGGGTAAGGCTGAGGGCGGAGGGTGATGGTGGCTGGGAGTGCGGGGGGACATTCCTTTCCTCAAAGACAACCAAAAAGGAGTGATGAAAGTATAGTCCTGGATGTGGTGGTGGGGAGAGCTGTGCTGTTCACCAGGCATGGTCCACCTCACCTCAGGAATAAGCAGGGACCTAAGAGGTCGTTCAGTCCAACCATTTCATCTTACAAGTGCACTCAGAAGGCAAGATCTGAGATCACATGGATTTTGACATTATGGTTGGAGTTAGCCTTTCCGATTGCTATCAATTACTAGTGATGGAAGAAAAGGCTGTAGTCTAACTGTCCTGGGAGAAAATGCATTTAAGTGAAAACTGATTTATACTATAATGTCAATGACTAATATCAGATCTTTTTCTGGAGTAAGAGAAGGGAGATACAGGACAGATATGAAAAGTATGATGGGAGTGAGAGAGGCAGGGTGAAGGAATGAATGAATGACAGATGATGGCTTTTCTTTTTTTTTTTAAGATTTATTTATTTATTTATTTGTTTGTTTATTTATTTATACAAGCACTGGGTACAGTCAGAAGCGCGGGAGGGTGAGAGAATTCTCCAGAGCCAGAGCGGGGAGCAGAGCAGGCAGAAGGATGGAAGTACACTGCTGAGGGGAGCAGCGGGTGGCAGGAGAGGTCTGCGCGCCATGTGGGACCCTCCTCCAGTGGCCGGGGAGCAGCCGGGGATCGAACTGGCGCTGCAGAGGCTGCAGGCAGCTTCGCAACCCAACGCTCAACCGCTGCGCCACCGGGGAGGCCCCAGATGATGGCTTTTCAACATGTGACACAGGGGTACTGCTGGAAAAGAAAGGAGCTACAGGTGATGGCTGTCTGCTGTGGAATAGACCAGGACATAGAGCCAACCACATTCAGCAAAGCAGTTAGACAGATTTATGATCAAATATCAGGTCAATAAGCAACTCTGGGGGCAGGGAGACTAACTGTCCTCAAACACACGATCCCACAGAAAGAGGAAGCTGAGGTCATGCCTTTACATACTCAATTGCAAATGTTGGGGCTGTAAAACATTTGGGGGTGACCTTGTCCACCTCTCTCCCACGGATGTGCAGCAAGGGGAGGCTGCAACAAGAGGGATGTAACTTACATTCCAGGAAAACCCACCTGGCCATGGGGGATGAAATAGGGGTGACACCAGTGTCCTGGGAACTGCGGTTCTGAAGACTTGCACGGGTGTGAGAACTGGACAGGTCACTGGGCCATGTGCTTAACCTTCAGCCTCGCCAAGAGCTCACCTGGGGAGTTTAAATACATGCACATACGTTCATTGTTTCCTGCTTACAAAAGTCTGCTTGTTTTTTGCAGCTACTGTGGAATCTTGAACTCTTGCCATTCCATATTTGCATAGAGATTTTTTTGAGTTAAGCAATTTTTTTTTTAACCCCTCGGGCCCCAGGTCGAGAGGCCGCAGGGTCACCCAGGTGGTGCGGAACTTTCTTCATGCGCAGGGCGTGCAGCCCCCCGTGGAGCTCTTCGTGGACTGGCTGTCCGTGGGCCACGTGGACGAGTTCCTGAGCTTCGTCCCTGCCCCCAATGGGAAGGTAAGGACTGGGCTGATGTGCCTGCCCCTGGCGTCTGGGTCAGGAGATGAGCTTCAGGGGCCACACTGAGGCCCGGCGGTCAGCTGAGTCTGCTGTCTGCACGCAGGGCTTCCGGATGCTCCTGGCCAGCCCCAACGCCTGCTTCAAGCTCTTCCAGGAAAAGCAGAATTGGGGCCATGGCAGGGCCCTCCTGTTCGAAGGGGTTGGTGAGTACCAGTGCTGTGTCCCTTAGCACAGCTTTCCCGCACCCCTCACCTAAATCAAGACACAGTGTGGCTTGACAGAATGATGCAACTATTTAAGCAGGGACTGTGCCCCCAAATTTGGGGGTCCCCACTCCTGCCACTGCACACCTTGCTCCACCAGCTGCTGATACATGTGGCTGAAACAGAGCCACAGGGAGCACAGTGGTGGACTGTGGGCTTGGGGTGGGCATAGGTTGAGTGGAGACCTGGTCAGCTTCTGGACATGTGACCCCCTCTGCTCAGAAGAGTCCAGGCTTGGGGTTCAATGCTCTGCCATCATTGTCTTGAAAATCTTAGTAATTTGCATTTTGTGGTGAAATCTGATTAATCGATGGAGCATCTGTTGGGGGCCAGGAGCTCCAGCTCCATGACCAGTCAGCCTTCTGCTGTCTTCCCTGACTGACTCTCCTCCACCTACTCTTGCCGCCCCTTGGAGCCTCAGCTCTTCAGACCCCCTGATTGCCTCTGCCCAGCAACTTTGACAGCCCTCCACCTCTGGGGAGCCCTTAACTGGCAGTACTGTGGGGCGCATGGTGGGCAATGGTGGAGGTGAGCCTTCTCCCTCGCCCCTGATGCAGGTGCCGAGCTCACCTCCATGCACAGGCTGCAATATCTTGGACATCACCCGCTCACCCATTCATTGGGGTGTTGTGCCTGTGGGTGGGGATGCCTGGCACCTGGTGGCTGAGCCCACGCACCAAGTCCTGGCCAGGAGCCTGTACCTGCCCGGCCCGTGTCCCTTTGTCTGAGGGACTGCAGCATCAAATTGCAAGTAAAAATCACCATGACAGGACCAGAGAAAGACCATGGAAAAGAGAAAAAGCCTTATATTTTAGTACCTTTAATGGCACTTTTCCTGTACTTTGAAAAAAGGGCCTCGTATTTTTATTTGCAGGGGAGGAATTCCGAGAGGGGGGCTGCTGGCTGGGGCTGGAGGGCAGATCAGCCTGCTGGAAGGGCTCTCAGATCCACTCCCTCCTGCCCCAACCTGAATGCTGCATAAATCCCAGAATCCTTCCTCTCTCCCAGGACCCCTGAGCCCTCAGGGAAAAGACCCTTTAGCCAGCTGGATCTAGCTTGGCTGGTGCCCGGCCTTGTGGGAGTTTGATCACGCCCTGGACCAAACCTCCCACCCCCAGAAGAGCTTCTGCAGAACATAGAGGTCCCCAAGTCTCACTTCCCACGTCCCCCTTCTCTCTGTTCATGCTACCCCCTTCCCAACAGGACCCCCAGCTGTAAAGAGGGAAAAGAGCAGGCTTCCCCAACCCCATTCCTTCAGAGGTCTTCACTGGCTCCTTTGAACCTAGATTTAATCTGAACCCAGATTAAACCTTAAAAATCCTCAGACCCAAATTTTCCTTACCAGGCAGAGGGAGGGCCATCCTCGGCTTTCCTGGGGGTACCGTTTAGAGTTATAAAACAAGGCCCAGAACAGGCTGGGAAGGAGAGTGGGGTTCACAGCCACCATGCTGTCCTGGACAGTTGACACACGGGGTGACCATGGGGCCCAGCGCACTCAGCAGTACCCCGTGCGCCAGGTGCGAGGCCGTGTGCACCCCATGTGATCCCATCTGACCTTGGGGGAGCCCCCAAGGATTGCTACCAGCCCCTTCATGCCCAAGAATGCCAGGCTCAGCGGTGACGTCCCTGGCCCAGAGGTCTCAGCAAGAATGCGAGGGGTTGGGACTGGACCCCGGCTGTCGAGCTGTAACTGGAGTGAGGGTTTGTGGTGCCCACTCGTGGCCAGGCGGTCCCGGGAGCCTGTTCTTTTCCTCTGGTCAAAGTGTCAGGCCCTTTGTGAGCACTGGACCTGGGCTTGAATCACAACTTCTACACCCATTTCCTAGTGGTAACACCTAGAGCCGATTTTTTTAACCTCTCTGAGCCTCCGTTTCGGCCTCTGTGACGTGGCATTAATGATGAGCATCTTGTGGGGTTGCAGTGAGGGCTGGTGAGGCGCTGAGTGTAGGTGTAGGCCAGGGCTGCAGAGATGGCAGCCATGAGGATTGGAGTCATGGGGCTAACCCCCCAACCTCCACACCACCTCCCCCTCCGTCCACCTGTGCAGCCCGGCCCCATGGGCACCACATGGAGCAGGCAGGAAAGCTGGGCCTCAGGGGTGCTCCTTTGCCGTGTTCCACCTTTTAAAGGGCACGGAAAGGGTCCAATAGTGTCCATTCGGGCTGGCACTGGTGGGAGGGTGGCTCGCCCAGTTTCTCCCCCTGTAGCCAAGACACCATCACCCAGTGCCTCGGAGGAGAGGGGCTTGTACGTTTCCAGTAAAAGGCGTCTCCATTTCCTGGGCACTCAGATAAAGGCCTAAAGGCCACAGCACTGTGGCAACCGCCCCTCCCACTCCCCCACACCCAGACTGCACAGGGGTCAAACTGACCACAGCTGGGTGGTACCTCCCTGCTGCCCAGAAGGCTCGCGAGCTGCTGACTCAGCGAGAACAGTAGCTGGGAACATGGCTGCTTCCCGTGGCGATGCTCCTGCCCGAACTCCATGTCGCTCTCTCCCCCACAGACAACCAAAAGGTCAAAACCGTCTCCATCAACCAGATCCTCTCCAATAGAAACCTCATCAGCTACAACAAGTTTGTGCAGGTACACGGGCCATGAGCTACACCTGGGGGGTGGGCATGGCTAGAGACTGAAGTCTGACGCTCTGACCCAGGTGGAGGGGGTCTGTACCCCAGCTTTGACTCGAGAGAAGTGCTATGAGGAGGATCAGCATTCTAGGCAGAGGGAACCGCACAGGCAGTGACCCGGAGGCGGAATGAAACTGAAGTGGTTGAGGAAGAGCCAGGAGGCTGATGTGGGGTGAGGGAGGCTGATCCCACAAGACTTCCTGCCATCACTAGGCCTTTGGCCATGGCCCTGAGTGATATTCGAGGCCACTGGGGTACTGTCTGAGCAGAGCAGGGATCTGCTCTGAATTATGAAAACCAGATGGTTTGGAAACCATCTTGCTGCTGCTGTGTTGAGAATCTACCAGTGTATCACGTTCTCAGCACCAAACATAGGGCACCCCATGCTAGAAAGCGGTAGGTAAGTTTCCACAAGGGGATATTTACAAAGGCATGAGGAGCACTTGAGGAAATCAACAAAGGATCCCGTAGTACCCCCAGGCTAGGAAGAGGGGTGCTGTTGCCCCTTTCCCAGGCCTGAAGGGATTAGGGAAGGCAGCTGGTGCTGGAACCTGGGGCTGTGACCTTCACAGTCAACCCACAGTCGCTGGCACTGAGGGAACGGCTCCCCTGCCAGCCCCCCACCTCCTGCTGATCCCTGGGGTCAGCCTCCCAGGGCACATCACTAAGGAGAAGGTGCACAGTGAGACCCGAAGGACAAACAGAATTTCCAGCATAAGGTCCTTCAGGAAGCAAATGCCACGATGGTGAAACATGCAGGATCTTTTTAGACCGCGCCTGTCAGAGGGAAGTCAGGAGGGAGCAGGGGGCGAGAGCTGACCCGAGGAAGGGCAGGTTGGGGGATTCATCCTGTCAGCCGACGTGCAGGTCCGAGGCAGCTCAGCAGAGCTGCGTGTGTGCCGGGGTGGGGTGCCCCCAGCCAGAGCCAGTTCTCAGAGGAGGCCTGTCTCCCAGAGAGGAGTCTGTCTGTCTTAGCTTCCCCGCCACACTCAGCCACTGGCTGCTAGAAGCCGTGGGAGGTGCAGGCTCTGGTGCAAACACAGGCGGCGTTTCAGAGCTAGAGCGGACAGCAAGGCTCGGTCATTTCCAGCATGTTAGTCCTGCCCTTGTAGTTGAGCCACACTGACGGGGTCTCCCAACTCCGCCTCCCCCACCCCCAGAGCTGCATCGACTGGAACCGGGAGCTGCTGAAGCGGGAGCTGGGCCTGATGGAGCAGGACATCATCGACATCCCGCAGCTCTTTAAGACCGAGAGGAAGAAGGCAATGGCCTACTTTCCTGACTTGGTGAGCCACCTCCCGCGACTTCAGCTTTCACCAAATGAAACTTTCACCAAGCTTCTGCTTTCCAGAGGAGCAGGGCATCGTGTTGCTGCCATCTTGGGACTGCCGTGGCTGGGGGAGGTGGGGGCATGGGGCAGGTGGCTTGTGGAAGGGTTGTTTGTTGCCTGCTTGTTGTTGGAAGGCTCCTTGGCCAAGTCCTTGCTCGGGGGTCATCCAGGAAGGGCCTTTCCCTCCTCCCAGAGACACTCTTGATATTGGGGCGTGAGCAGGTGATTGCATGAGGTTGTGTGTGTGAAGGACACAGACTCGGTTGGCAACTTAGATGCCATTTCTGTTCCCTTCTCCCAGCTATTCACCCACCCCCCAGACTGAGGGTACCTATGGGGGAATACAGAGATGATTAAAGAGGCTCCCCATTCCTCAAGAGCTTCCAGTCAAATCTGGTGAGGGAGAAAGCACTTCCAGCCTAAGAGGTAGGACAGGAGACCCAAGAAGTCTTCATGGAAGAAGTGGCCTTTGATTGAGCCCCGCGGGCTTTGCCACTGGTACTTCTAAAACTGCAGCTTGCCTAGGGACCACCTGGTCCTCCAGCCCCTCCCCACCTCTGTGCCGCAACGCACCCATCATCAGAGCCTTGCAGGGCGTCTGTCCACACCACTGTTACTTCACTCCGCCCGCCCCACCTTTTCCTTCTCTTTTTTAATTTATTGCCTTCTCCACTTCCTCTCTTGCAAAGCCTCATCACTCCCTTTCCTTCCTGCATCTGTAAGGAGGCCTTGCAATTATGTATTTGGCCCCGGCTTGTGAGCTGTTATTATGTATGTGCCCCGAGCTTATGAGCTGGTCCAGGTCCTGACGTTTGCAAGAAGCAGAGGCCCACCTAAGCAAGAGCTGTACCATAAGGACACATGAAACTGAGGGCGGGGTGGCTGCAGTGGGGCAACTGAAGGACCTGGAACCATCTCCTGTCACTGAATCCACAACATTCAAGCCTTCCCTCTTCTCCAGCTTGTTTTCTTTTTCTTCCCTGTCCCCGGGCACGAATATGACCACAACACGCAGCAAGACCAACCCTGGCAGAGCTTGACTGGCTCTCCCGTCATGTCCATTTCCAATACCCAAGAGAGAATCTGATTGGTCCAGTTGGGTCAGATGGCTGCCCTGGTCCCATCAGCCACAGCCAAAGAGATTGGGCTTTTATAGCACAAACCACAGCCGCCGCCACAATCCGCCAATAAGGAGGGCAGGTCCCAAGCGCAGGTGTTCCCGCAGGAGTGCACACCTGGCTGGCGTTCTGAGCCCCCACTGCGCGAGTAGCTCTTCCCAAGGCTGCCAAAAAGACAAGCCCAGGTCTTGCCCGGTGCAGTGGAGGTGCTGGGTAGGATGAGGAGGAGGTGCGGCCCATCACCTGGGCTTCCTCTCTTGGCAGGTGAACATGCTGGTGCTGGGCAAGCACCTGGGCATCCCCAAGCCCTTCGGACCCATCATCAACGGCCGCTGCTGCCTGGAGGAGAAGGTGCGGTCCCTGCTGGAGCCGCTGGGCCTCCACTGCACCTTCATCGACGACTTCACCCCGTACCACCTGCTGCACGGGGAGGTGCACTGCGGCACCAACGTGCGCCGGCAGCCCTTCTCCTTCAAGTGGTGGAACATGGTGCCCTGAGGACCCCCACCCTCCATCCTCTCCCCCTGGGGTGGGACATCAGCCTGGTGATGGAGACTGAGACAGGTCCCTGAACAGTAAGCATCAAGAGACCCCAAGGTTCCAGATGGATCACTGAGCATGACGGGCCCTCTCAGAAGCCTTTTCCCTAGAAATATTCACTCTCCCCTGCAACCAGTTGGGTTCTCAGACTTGGATCCTCTTGGCCTCCCAAGAAGAAGGACCTCACTTTTTGTGACCTCTCATGCGGATCAACTTGATGCATGGGGACCCCTCCTAACATCCCCTGTTCTGCTCCCAAATCATCCGTTTGGACCTGATTGACTTTGGGGTCTAGAAACGTCTGTGCTTCTCCTCTGCCAGCTTGGCCAGTGTGTCCTGATGGAAGAAGGACCCACGATGCTGCTGTGGTCCGGTTGCTTCTTGCTGTGCAGGGTCACAGCCCTACAGTCAGATCTCTGCACAGCACAGGGGCATTCACCCACAGCCCCACCCGCTGGGAAGGGTGGGGCCCTCCTGTGCTCCAACTACCGAGCTCCTAACCAGATGTTGAACTCTGTACCCCCCCTTCACATAGTAGGTGCTTCTAGATGCCTGTTGAAGGAATGATAGTTGTCCCTTAGCCTAATAAACCTCCCATTATCTGACATTCAAAACCCTGGCTTTGTTCCAGAACTTTCTGGAATTTCTTGGAGATGAAAATATCTGGGGAATTCCTGGAGACTGGGAAACCTGTGGAGGTAAGGGCGGGAAATGTCCTTCCTAAAGCACAGGTGCTTCCTTGGCCCTGGGCCTTGCCACCGAAGAGTAGTATTAGTTGTAGGCTTTCTAGAAAATTGCCCCCTGGTCAGTGTTTCAGTCCTGCTTGTATCCTGGGGAGGGGCTAAGCGGGGCCAGACCCACTGAGACAGCTCGCAATGGACAACTCTGGGAGTGAACTGCCAAAGCCAGGAATGTGAGCGAGGTGGGTGGGCGGTTTTCTCCAGATGCTTGTCAGTTACATATGTGCTTCCATCATAGTTAATAAAGCCACAGGAACTCAAATGGTTTGAGTCTAATGTTGGCCTTCTTGGGGTGTAGAACATGCCAGCAAGAATAGAGGAGTATGTTGCAGCTGATGCATTCGCTTGCCTGATCCCCAAAGAACTTGGGGCTGACAAGCCCAGATTTTGGTCAGATGTGCAGGCTGAGATGGGGCCACCATGGAGAGTCTGAATGATATGGGCACATACATGTGAGCCCGGGGGTCAGATGCCAGGCTGCCAGGACCTAGCGGGCGTGGCAGGCAAGGGTCCTGGCTGTGGCCATAAAGTTGCACCGTGAGCAGCTATGGGGGCAACCTGAGTGTTCAGCCTGGGGAGGCTGGCTGTGTGCCCTCGGGCACCCTCCTTCCTGCTTACACGGAGGCCACGGGTGCCCCATGAGTGATTTGCTACAGAGCCAGGGGAGGGCCTTCCCTTTATCAAACCCTCCTCCTAGAGGCACGGATCACACACTCCTCAAACTGGCCACAGGCTGAATTGCTTCTGACTGGTTAGAGAAGATGTTACACCCTTTCCCCAATGCCCGCTCTGCTTACAGTCTCTGGAACAGACCCCCAAGGCCTCTCATGTAGCCATACTTGCATAGAATAAGGCCCCCTCGAGGGAAGCTGAGGCAAACGAGGATGCTGAGAAATTCATGTTTGTGGAAAGGTTTTGGATTGGGGAATGTGACTCTCTAGAAAGCAAGCGCCTAAAACTGGGAGAAGTTAGGTGAGTTACCAAGCAGATTTTTCTATCTTAGATGCCCTCAAACCAGCCACTGGGCTCTGAGTGGAGCAGGCAGTAAGTTCTGGAAAATTCTCATGTCTCGAACTTGACTCCTACCTTCTGGGTTGGTGTGGGTGGGCATCCTGAAGACTCTAACGCCAATGAGGAAACAAAATAAATCCTCCAGTGAGCCACTGGAAACGGTGCTCACCTCTCCACACTGCAAAGGGGTTGGTGCGTGTGCTGCCGTGTATCAAATGATCACAAACTTAGTGGCTTAAAACAACACACATTATCTTACAGTTCTGGAGATCAGAACTGGGCCTTGTGGACTGATGTCCAGGTGTAGAAGGGCTGCATTTCTTATGGAAGCTCTGGGGAGATCTGCTCTCTTGCCTTTTCTCGCATCTAGAAGCCTCCTTCATTCCTTGGCTCATGCCCCTTTCCTTCAAAGTCGGCAGTATTTTGCTGATTTTGAGTAGTTTTAAATACTTCTCTGACTCTTCTCTCTCCTTCCATGTAAAAGGCCCTGTGATTGCCTCGGGCCCACCTGAATAACTCAAGGTGTTCTACTATCTCTGGGCCCCCTGATGTGCAACCTCCATTCCATGTCAACATTGATCCCCCTTTGTGTGTAAGGTCAAATCACCAATTTTGGGAACTAGGGCATGGACATCATGGGGGGATCATTATTCTGCCTTCCTCAACCAGCTAGGCCCCGGCGAGGCTTTCTGGCCTCCGTGAGCTGGGCCACAGGGCCTCCTCTGAAAGCCAGCCTTGGTCTTTAACAAACGTCAGAGTTGGCAGAAGAAAGATTCCCTTGGTGGGCTCTTCTTCTAGGCCCTGCACTCAGTCCTGACCTTCAGTGACATGGGCTGAGACCTGGGGTCCCCTGAGTGTAGGCTGGTGGCCCTACGAACACGGGGCTGCCTCACCGAACCTAAGGATAAGGGTTGTGTCCACTGCCTTCCCAGACGCGGCCCGTGGGGTCCCTTCCAGGGCCCGGTCCCAGGCCTGGAAACCCCAGGAAACCAGGAGAGGCCTGAGTTCTCATGTGAGAGCTCCCTCCCTCCCTCCTCTGCACACAGGGCCTCCCTCCTCCCACACAGAGGCCGGCCTTGACCCTGGGAAGGTCAGGGCGGGGTCCGAGGGGAACCTGAACACTACTTGAAGAGCCAGTTACTTATAACCCGGAGAAGCCTGTTCAACGCCCTCTATTCTCTCCTCATTCACTCATTAAAAACATTCAGTGAGTGCTGCTCGCCAGGCGAAATCTCTAACCGCAGACGTTTACGTCTAGCAAGTGGAGGAACACACATAACTAAAACTTAAGATAAATGGCATGCACTGGAAAAAGGAGCAGGGCCCTGGCCCCGGAGCGCAGGCAACGGGGAGCTGCGTCAGTAACACGGCCTTCCCTCTCAGGAGGGGATGCTTGGGCTGAGGCTGACGGGGGACACCAAGCTGTGGGCAGGCAGGGCACAAGCTGCCAGGTGTGGGAGCTGCGGTGCAAGGGCGCAGAGAGGGAGCGTGCTCAGAGCGCAGCCAGGATGAAAGGAAGGCCAGGAGGGTTGGGGGGCGGGTAAACGGGGAGGAGGTGTTCCGTAGCCCCAGCAGGCCCACCTTCAAGCAGGTTGCAACCCCTTTCCAAGGTCGGACTTGGTGGTGGGCAGGGTAAGAGTAGAGTCTGCTCTAGGCCTGCACCCACATACCATAGTCTCAGGTCAAATAACGTGGCTCGGTGGAAAGAGTTTGGGCCTGGAAACTGGACCATCTAATGTTACTTCCCTGCGCTGGATCCGAGTCTGTCTCCTCCTCTGTGAGACTTAACAAGCGCATAGATCTCAGAGAGTTGCGTGGGGTCTAATCCAGGCGCTTAGCATCGGGGTGCCGGGCGCATGGACAGTCTCCAATAAATGACTTTCCTCCTCAGCTCCGCTGTGTGGACACGCTCCTGACTCCTGCATTCAAAGGTGCTTTGGGACCAGAGGTCAGATCTGGGAGGGAGGGAAAAGAGGGGGTCCTGGCAACTGTCAGGTCGGGTCCTGCTGGGCTCAGCTGTGTGGTGCTGACCCAGAAGGAGGATCGTCTAGACCAGGAGCGAGGGCCTGTCTCTCTTGAGGGGATGTGCGGCTCCGGGCAGCGCTGGGCCCACCTGAGTCATGCTTCGTTCAGTTCCAGGAACAAGTAACGGCAGGAGGTTGCCCAACCCCATGGTCTGTATTTCCCGGCAGCCCAGAAGGGCAGGAGTGGCAGCCGGAACGGCTAGGGCTCCAGGGGAGGCTGGTCAGAGAGGAATCCAGACTGGGCAGAGTCCGTAGGAACCAGCGTTTCCTACAAAGTCAATGTCATCCCACATCCGCACTGCGGAAGGGAGCGTGAGCGACGTGCGGGGCGAGTGCTGGACATTTCACCTGCATCATCTCATTTCTCTTCACAGCAGGCTAATGGGTAGCGACTGTTATTACCCTCACTTTACAGATGAGTAAACTGAGGCAGAGAGAAATGAAGAAAACTCCCAAGTCACTGAGGTGTCAAGTGGGGAGCAGGTGACCTTCCTAGCTGGGTTCTTAACCAGCCCCCCCAGAGGGTCTCAAACTGTCTGCACATTAGCATCACCTGGACGGCTTTTTAAACTAGCCAGGGCAACTCCCGCCCTCAGAGATTCCGTCTGGACCTTGAGATGTGCAAAGCTGCCTGGCCCTCGGCACGCACCTGGCAGGCACATCAGCCACCCCCCTGTCTAGTTCTCTGAGGCAGCCCTAGCCCCCCCAACCCCATGTCCTTCCTCCCCACTTCATCTAGAATCAGCAATTTCAGGGCCTCCTTTTGAGGCAGCCACTTGGGCTGTGGTGGCAGAACGACGACCAGGCGGTTTGTGCTACATTCCAATTTTCTTGCTGGGCCCATGGTTCTTAAACAGAGCACACGCAAGATTTCACAGATTATTTAAAATACCAACTCCTGGGCCCCCTCCAGCCAGGCCTCCTGAGCCTGGCATCAGTGGTTGGTGAAGCTTCCCAGGTGGTCTGATGCACACCTGGATTAAACATCCCAACTATTTCCTGTTTATCATGCAAAACACCTGGACACAAAGAGCATCTTCACCCAGAGGGCATCTGTGAACACACTGGGGTACATTGCACCCCTTGAATGACTATACTGTCACTTAATGAGAATGAGTGGGAGACAGCCCACTTGACTTGGAGGGATTCCCAAGGGTGTTGTCGAGTGAGAAAGATGAGACACAAAGTAGTGTGGACAAAACCTCCAACGAATGTGTGTGCGTTTACAGTCCAGCCGAGAGAATGCAGGGGGCACACGGGGTTGCAAGGAGCTCTGGGAAATGTAGTCCTTGGCTGGGCAGCCGCCTCCTAGAGTCGAGTTTATTTTGTAGACTAAGGATTAGGAATTTCTTCTTGACCACTTGGCACCTCAAACCCAGAGGAGAAGAGAGTGGATCGAAAGACTAATCTCTTTCACCAAGGAGGCATCACAGCTCCCTGGCTTTACCTTTCAGCTCATGCGTCACTACTGGTCACATCATGCTGTCCTACCCTTAGGGATGTAGAGTTGGCCTTCTCCCCACAGCTGTGACCGTGCGCACTGGGTCCACCCCTGCAGGTTCCTCTCTGCCTGATCCCTCTCCCCACCCCCAGGCCCATTTGTGCTGTAGTCTGGGCCCCACCCTGCCCCAGAAATGAAGTATCCTGGAAAGAGGACAATGAGTCAAGGGCTTCTTCAGTGTAAACTGATGCTGACAAAAGGCCCTCATTAAGGGCCTGTTGACAGATGAGGGTGTGTGGGGAAGTGTCTCTGATTTCCTGCTTCCCTGCTGGCAGCCAAGAAGTAACTGGTATGCCAGCAAGGAGGCAGGTTGAGGTTTATC